TGGTCTGTTCAGAGATAACTTATACACTTCCTGGAGTATGTGGGACTTGAACCTGGGCGTCTCCTCGTCCAGAGGTAGAGATATTGCAACTGCACCACGAGACCCCTATGACTTACTTGAACAGTTTGATTGTAACTATGTATCATAGGTGGTTCACTAAGTTGATTCTGAAGTTGAGAGGGTTGGCTTACGAGGAGAGTCTGAGTAGACTGGGACGATATTCATTGGAATTTGGAAAAATGCGGAGGGGGAGAGCGATCTTTATAGAAACGTATAAAATTATGAAGGGGATAAATAAGATAGAAGCAGGCAGGCTGTTTCCACTCGGCCATCCTGGGCCTCCTGTAGTGCCACAATAACACCACATGCAAACTGGACTAACAACACCTATTCCGCCTCGGGAACCTATAGCCTAGTGGCCTCAACATAGAATTCACCGGTTTCAAAATATCCCCATCCCCAGCCCCATCCCATGTCCAAACCCCTCCCCCCAACCCTGCCTCTTTGACTTGACGCAACCTAACCTTCTCCTTCCCCACCTATCCGCCCAACCCTTCCCATTGACTGGTCCTCACTAACTGTACCTGCATCCACCTATCGCCATCCCACCTACCTACCCCTGGCCTCACCCCTCTTCCCTTTTATTTATTTCCCAGCTCCCTTCCCTCTCCCAGTCCTGGTGAAGGGTACCGACCTGAAATGTCGACTCTCCTGCTCTTCCGATACTGCCTGACCTGCTGTGTTCTTCCAGCTCCACATTGTGTTAAGGTTGTTTCCACTGGTGAGTGAAAGTAGAACTGGGGGCTTAGCCTCAAAATTAGGAAGAGCAGATTTCAGACTGAGTTCAAGGAGGAGCTTCTTCATCCAAACTGTGAATCTGTGGAATTCCCTGTCCAGTGAAACAGTTGAGACTACCTCATTGAATGCTTTTAAGTCAAAGAGTTATGGTGAGCGGGTAGGTAAGTGGAGCTCAGTCCACAAGAAGGTCAGCCATGATGATCGAGCAAGTTCGACGGGCTAGTTGGCCTACGCCACCTCCTATTTCTTATGTTTTTACATTTGGCTGTTATCAGTCACATGTAGATAAAACATCTTGATTTAATCTTTGAATTTGCCAACTGAGGGACTCAATTACCACCTCTATCCTCTCAATCTGCTGTAAAATAATTGTATTTACTGGTTATCTGATCCCTTCTCCCAGTATTAAAATGGTTTCACTGATTATACTGATAATTCCAGATGTTTTATTATGTCTTTTATGGCTTTGGGCAAATTACTGGGCTGTTGATACACACACTCGTATAGTGTAACATTTAATAATAAGTTGCATCAATTGAACAAAGCAGGAAGGATAATGAATATGTGTTGATGACTAATTTTAGTAGTGGTACCTGGACGTCCTCCGTAAACCAAAAACAGTGGAATCAAAGCCAATTATCTATTGTGTGGTTTAAATATCAGCAAAGTCTGCACCTAGTTATCAGATTATAAAGTGCTGAATAGAAAAACATGCATCCTCTGGACCTGCAGCACAGACTGACTCACCTCGTAGTCTGGGCAGTGAGTTACTGTGGCATTGACTGGCTTTGAGTTGTCTTACTCCGAGAGCCTGGGTTCAGAATTAGCTAATCGGCATCCATTATAAATTATTCAAAGCAACTGCTCGTTTGGTGGTAGTATGTGGGTAGTCAGTTGCTAACCTGTTGTAGTTTTGACCTGGACTTTCTGAATTTATAAATCGTTTGAACCAGATGGGAGGGGTTGGTAAGTTCAGTAAAAAGAAACAGTGTTGAATCTTGATGCATAGGATCTGTGCTGGCCCTTTTTAAGAAGAATCAGTCAGTGCTTCTTTCTGCAATGTCATCTTTTTAGTATTGTAACAGTCCCCTTTTTGGAAGGCTGCTATTAAATCTGTATCATTGATCGTGCCAAACAGTGTATTCTTAATCCTCTCACCTGTTGCTTAGAGTATTTTTCCTGTGTCTCCTGTGGTTCTTTTGCCAAGCACCTTGAACATGTGACCTCCAATTATTGACCCAACAGTTTTTTCCTTCTAAACCTTGTGAACCCTTCAAAATTTTTAAGAGTTTCAAGCAAACCTGCTGTTGGGTTGCTCTGCATCTAATTGTTAGATTAAGATCAGTCGAGACCAGTGATCTCTTCTGATCTCAGTATCAAAGTTACTTTTCTACTTGCGTTTTAATTGTACCCCTGGTGCTCCTGAGCTTCAACTTGCACAGGCTGAAGATTGGAGAAGAGTTGTGCTAAAACGTGGGCTGTTCTCTCCATACAGTAAATGACTTCTTCCCAAGTTTCCCATTTCCCCTCCCCTGCACACACCAGGCATTTTGCTTCATACAAGCTTCATTCCATTCCCTGTTCATTTCACTCCGTCAACAGACCCTTCTAATCCTTTCTCCATTACGTTTATCTAGCTTCGCTTTTTAAATGTACGTGTGCTATTTATCTTGACCATTACTTTTAGCAGTGAGATCCATATATGCCCTCTGCTTCTGATCACCCCAAGTAGAAACACAAGAAGAAACATGCAGTTAGCGCTTTCTGTCTTGTACCCATCAAGACAGATACAAAACTGCTAAATTGCAAAGTGAGTGATGATTTATACTGTGAGGAAAACAGTACTGATTTTGAGGCATTGCCATAGAAAGTGTGCCTTGGAGATCGTCATTAAGAGTCGAGACCATGCAGCAGTCTATTGTTGCTCTGTTAACTCTGGTGTTCGAGCACCTGACCTCGTCAGTTCAAGGTAAAAAAACTATCCCTCCTTTTAGAAATGCTCCAGTTCTGCGCTGGAAAGTGACTAAGTGGAAAAGTCATTCTAATTAGAGTGTGGTTGCTCTGTGCTCTGATGAAATCATCCTTTTGGTTTCTTGACATTGAGAGATATGGGACTTGTGTGGAGAAAGTAGAATTCAGGTACAAGGTCAGCTATAATTTAGTTTGAGGCCTGTACGAGATAGCTTGGAATTCTGTCGTACTTTAGTTGTTTTTGTGTCCATTTTGTAGGTCTGAGGGGAATACTCATTACTGGAATAGGAGGAGCTGTGAGTTTTTTATCTTTATAAAGGAGATAATTTCTTAGGATTGAACTCTGGAAAAGCTGTCACTTCATTGTCTGTTCTAGGTCTCTCACTGAGAATGTATGTACCCTGAATGGAGATGGTGTTGCAGTTTTATGTTAACCTTACTGAATTTTTTACACAAAGGATTAGACCGTAGCGCTGCGCCCTTCTTTATAGTCAGCAAAACACTTCACTAAGTGAGGCTATAATTGATTTTATTTACAGGAAATAGCATTGCATGATGGTCTCATGATATCCATCAGTTAAATGCAGATAAAGCAAAACTTGTGGCTTGTTATATATTGGAAAGCTTGTCACACTTTTGATCTTTGTAATATGAAAAGAATCTGTCCTGATCAGTAGAGGTACTGGGGAAGTATTGAAGACATTTACCAGAATGACATCAGAACTGGAGGCTTTTCGCACCAAAGCTCATGGTCCTCAAAAATGAATGTCATGAGATATATAAACTCACCCTACACTGTTAGCCAGGCTTTCTGTCTATTTTCATAATCACTGAAGAAATTATTTCAACGGGCTATACAACACAGTGGTGATGTGAAAGTTTTGTTTGGTACATTATTTGGTGTCCTGATGTGACTAATTGTATTTCTGATTAGTTGTGAGAAATAAATGTTAGATCCTGTCACTGTGTACAAAATCTTCATTGTTTTAAGAGACTTCATATCTGTCATACTTGCTGATCTTGTCTCTGGACGGGTGGCTCGCCACTTAAATATTTGCTTTTAATCTTGTGTTTGTTCCTGTCCTAATCTGATCAGCACATAGGAACAGGAGTAGGCCATTCAGCCCTTGAGTCTGTTCTATCATTCAGTGTGATCGTTGCTGATCCATGGCCAAACTCCATATCCCTGCCTTTGGACTGTATTGCTTCATGCTTTGTGCTTAGCAAAAATTTATCTATCTCAGATTTAAAATCAACAGCTGATCAACTATTCACTGCCATTTGTGTAATTGAGTTCCAACCCTCTACAATGCTGACATCTCTCCTGAATGGTCTGTCTAAGAATTAGGGCCAATGTCCCCTCGTTCTCAAATTCCTAACAAGTGGATCTTTATCTAACCTGTTTTCCTGTTAGCATTTTGAAGACTTCAATCAGATCACTCCTTAACCTTTTAAATTTTGGAGAAAACAGGCCTAATATGTATAATCTCTCCTTAAATTTAAATCCTGAAGTACAGGTATCATTTTTGTAAACCTACGATGTACTCCCTCAAAGATGAATATGTCCTCAAGGTTTGGTGTCCAGAGCTGCACGTGATACTCCAAGTGGGGTCTAACTAGTGTTTTGTATAGCTGTACCATAACTTCTGCATCTTTGTACTCCAGTCGTCTAGATATAAAGACCAGCATTCCATTGGCTTTCTTGATTATTTTCTGCACTTGGTTATGTTCTGCATTATATTATGTTCTGGAATTCTCTCCCTGAGGGCTTTGTGGGTCAACCCGCAGCAGCTGGACTGCAGTGTTTCAAGGAGGCAGTTCACCTGAACCTTCTCAAGGGCAACAAGGGATGGGCAATAAATGCTGGCCCAGCCAGCAAAACCCACATCTTAGCCACATGAATGAATAAAAACAAAAATCTGCTTGTGACATTTTAAAGATCTGTGCACCCGAGACACCAAGTTCTTTTGGACACCCACTGTATTTAACTTCATACCATCTAGAAAGTACCTTGATCTATTCTTTTTCAGTTCAAGATGTTTTGTGGCTACCATTAGAACAACATGGCCGTTCACAAACTCTTACCAGAAACCCTTTTTCTGGTTGACTTTCCCCTCAACAGCCAGAGATCAACAATGGGCGTTGTTTTGTTATTGCTGCTGATGTCGCTGGTACCTTTGTCTAACTTGGTGTGATAACCAAATGACCTTCTTAATGCTTTTGTGTTGCAGGGAGAAGATTGTCAGCTTGGAGTTCATGCGGAAGTACATCCACGTCGCAAAGATTGTTAAACCTGTGCTCACTTCTGAGGCAGCAAATTACATTGCAGAGCAATACTCCAATCTGCGCAATCAGGACCAGATGAGTTCTGATATTGCTAGGGTTTGTGGATTAGTTATATCACTAGCTTTTCACAAAGAATTCTTTGAAGCTATTTCACTTATTTCCTACTCATCTTTCTTTATGTTGCTGCACACCTTGATGGCGGGTCCCAGGTATCTGGGTATGAGTGCTGTCCCTCAGAGCTTTGTGGGTTAATGGATTAGGCATGTTGAGGCCCCTTGTTTGATGCTTGTGCACTTGAAGTGGGGAATGCTGTATGCTGGTGGCTGCTGCTAGGTCAATCATGCTTACCTCAATGTTTGTGTGAGAGAGGGTGATGTTTGTGAGAAAGGGCTCCCGAACATTATGATCAGCTGATCCCACAGCCCTGCTTTGGCCATGTTTGTGCTGTAGTGGCTCTTGGTAACTTGTTGAGCCAGCCTACTCATTGTAGGTATATCATCCACTTCAGAGCATCTCTTCATGTTGTCATGTCCTGGAAGCCTGTATCATTAGGCAGTGGTATTTCAGGTTCCTTTTAGGAAAGGGGAGGGGAGCCCTATTTCACATCTTCAGTTTTGTGCTTGGGTACTTCTGTTACTATAACGTCAGTGACAGATTCTTGATAACTGCTGGAATTTTGTCCTTCTATCCCACGCTTGCCCATATAAGGGATTGGGGTGCCAAGCTGTTACATTGCCATTCTATTTTAAAGGTGAATAGTTTCAAAGTAAAATGTCACTGCATTTGATTTCCTCCTACTCTTTGCCTCAGTCTGCCCCCACTCCAGTAGTCGGTGTCATGTGTGTTAGACATAGTGCATGTTCATTATATCATAGCTTGATCTGCAAAGTGGATTCTTCATGCAAGCTGAGTTTTAACTAGTCATGTTTTATCTCTGTTTCTCTCTTTCTCCCCCTCCACCATTCACCCACCCACCCACTCACCCAATTCAGACTTCACCTGTCACAGCCCGAACTCTGGAGACATTGATCAGATTGTCAACCGCTCATGCCAAAGCCCGCATGAGCAAGACAATAGACATGCAAGATTCAGAAGCAGCAGCTGAGCTGGTTCAGTTTGCGTACTTTAAGAAGGTGAGAACATCTGTGTTGCAGCGGACTTTTAACAGTGCACTCCACAGTTACTGAGGGCTTAATTTCTGGTACACCAGTGTTTCTGATAATGCGGACTATAGAAAATTGTAGCACTCAAGTGAGTTGAGGTCTAGGTCAGGTGAGCAATGATCTTCTTGAATGGTGGAGCAAGATCGAAAGGTCTACTGCTCCTATTTCTCATGTTCTTATGCAGTGGCAGTTTCCCAAAGTGGGAGGAGATGGGACCTCAAGTGGGACTGTGAGCTCCCCTGGAGTTGTAGAGATTCTGCTCTACTTTCCTACTTTCAAGCCTCAAATTGAAGTCCCAGTGGGAGAAAGTTTGGGTAGCATTGTGCTATGGTAACACCATTGGAATCAGTGTACTGATTGTAATAGAAAACACCTTGCCCCCCTCCCCCCAGCAAGAAGATAAAAACAGAAAGAATTGCAGATGCTGTAAATTGGAAATAAAAACAGAAATTGCTGGAAAAACTCAGCAAGTCTGGCAACATTTGTGGAGAGAAAGCAGAGTTAGTCTTCTGGGTCTTCTTCAGAACCAAGATCAACTTTGGCTCAATAGAGAGTGTAAGAGGGCATGCCAGGAGCAGCATCAAACATACCTAAAAATGAAGTGAAGCTGCCAAACAGGACTAATTGCCTGCCAAACAGCATAAGTGATAGACAGGACTAAGTAATCTTACAATGAATGGATCAATCTAAACTCTAGTTTTGCCTCATTACTACATAAATTAAACCTTTTCAAAGATATCTTCAAAGATAGGGGGAGCCCAGCACATTACTGAAAATATCCCAGCTTTATCTTTTGCACTAATCTTCAGCCTGAAGTGTCAAGTATGAAATAACTTCACAGAGGCTGGTATCCCGTCACTGAGTCATCCTTTATTTACAAGTGGAAAGTCCTTGACGCTGATTGAGTTCCTACAGAGCCAGCTCTGGGTGTCAGGATGTCTGACACTCCTGTTTGTGTCAGTCAGCCAGGGCTGTCCAATGGGGGCTGATAATCTGGTGCAGTCAGGGAATTTGTATTCTGTGAGGTCCACCTAACTGACCTTGTTGCAATCACTAGAGAGTGGGTGATCGATGTTGGCCTCTTCTAGAGGTATAATAATCCAAGACTGATCAACTCTGTGTTAGTTTCACATACAATGCACAAATCACATTAGATTTGAGCTCTTTTACAAGCAGGTCAGAAATAGCAGCTTGCACCAACCCTGCTGGAAATTTGCAGATTGTGACGCTGACTAAATGCCCAGTGGCAGATGATCTTTGGCTTCAGAGTAGTTTTCCAACCACATTCCCCGTGTTGCTTTTTAAGACAGTAGCAGTAAAGGATGATTAAGGAATCAAAGCATTTTGGCATTTTAATTGGTTTTATCCTTGAAAACTCTAGAGTTTTACTCTTGCTAGAATGCTGCCTTGTGTCAGTGTTTGTTAATTAGCTTAGATTGGATCACAGCATTCAGCAAGTGATACACCCAAGGAAAAAGTTAGAAGGGTGCTTGAGAGCAGCATGCATGGGATGTGGACGTCACAGGTTGGGCCAGTATTTATAATCCATCTGTACTTGCCCTGGAGGTGGTCGTGGTGAGCCACTGAAGTTGGGCTATTAAGAAGCGAATTCCAAGACTTTGACTGAGTGACCCTGAAGAAAGGGCGACATATTTTTAGTTCAGAACATTGTGTATCTTGGAGGGAAGTTACAGTTCAGCATCATGCCGACACTGTAGAAGAAGAATCTGGGTTAAATGTTTTGAGCTGTGTATATCAACATGCTGAAGGGAAAGCCAATTATTATCACACCCTGTAGTTCTGTTTCATATTAATAGGAGCAGCCTAAATATACTGCTGATCTGATCCTATTTCTGCCACGGAGATCCAATTGCAGAAGAATCTTCACATTCCCAGCCAGACATCAAGCTCTAATGTTATATTTTGTGTAGGTTTTGGAGAAAGAGAAGAAACGTCGCAAAGAAGAGAGTGATGTGGAAACTGAGGAGGAAGAGGTAATCCAGGATGATGGAGATAGCAAGAAGAGGTAAGAGTATACAGTGCAAGAATGAGCACAGAGTACTGTCAAGTTCATGCTTTTATTATTTGTTTACCTGTGTGCATCAAATAAGGTGTATCCAAGACCACTGGTTTAATCAATCTTTGTTCTTGATTGCTGCTGCACACTGTAGGAGTTCACTGTATTCGTAGATGGGGCCCTGTTTTGTGAAGAGGGCCTCTGATATAAGGGTGAAGTACTCTCCTGATCAGTAATGCGGATGCAATGAAATGACAGTTTTTGAGAGATTTGCATGGCACAGGCTCAACAGTCTTTCGTTTGACATTGGTTGCTGCCTTCTCTTCCTGTGTATTAATGGGTGCCCACCCAAAAAGCTGAAACCTCGTCTCAGTTGGTGAGACAGTAACTGGGAGAGTTGTGTTTGTTTGCACTATATGTAATAAAGCACTCAATTCCATTCATCTTAGGAGGAAAAGCCAAACTAAAGATGGTGAAAGCAGGAAAAGGAGACGGGAGTTGAAGGAGGGTGAGCAACATGATCCCTATGACTTCAGTGATGCCGAGGGAGAGACTCCCGATAGTAAGTCCATTTCTTCTCTCCCTGCAGGCAGAGTGTCTGAGAGACCGCGTTCACTGGAGAGGTGGGCTTCCTGTTTGCAGGTTGGATTGCCTAGTTAGAGGTGACTTGGCTGTTAATCACCAAAGTCTTTTGAGCAACCAGAAAACAAATAATATTTTGAGTGTCGAAAAGTGCAGTTGCCAGCTTTGAGGTTGGTTAATCAATAGCTAAGTGGTAGTGATTAGCTATTAAATCTGACAGGGATGTTATATCTTGTCTAGTCACAAGGTTGGCATAGTAGTGACCTGAACTGAGCTGGGTGTTCCTGTGCATAGCTCCTGGGTGTTACACAAGCTGTAAATTGTTCTGCTGCTTAAATGTATACTTCAGATAGTGTGTTGATTATTAATGCCCTTCTTACTGTTCTCATGAATTAAGACTTGAGGTAGTATGAGGGTCTGAGTTTGGACATTTCTGCTGTGCTCCTAGAGGAATGATGGTTGTACATGAACAATGATCCCTATCTTTCAAAGCTCAGCAGGTGAGATGGGTGATCACTTCCCCAGTGGACAATAGGTGTGTTCGCTTAGGCATAAATTCTCTTTTTCCCCCCCCCACCCAACCTTGAGAGGAGATGCTGAAAGAGAAAACCAGGCAATTTACTTAGAGATAGTAGGAACTGCAGATGCTGGAGAATCCGAGACAACAAGGTGCAGGGCTGGATGAACATAGCAGGCCAAGCAGCATCATAGGAGCAGAGAGACTGACGTTTCGGGCCTAGACCCTTCATCAGAAAATTTACTTAGACATTGGTTAAGTACTGAAATCAATATTAAGGAAGTCTTCAACAGCACGCTTTAAAGATCATACTATGATCAGCCAAAATCCACCTGGTTTTATGAAAGAAAATCCTGTTTGATGAAGTTAGCTTTTTTTGTGCGTGCAACTGGGGGTAGGGTAGATAAAGGGAAACCAATAGATGTAGTTTACCAAGATTATGTTTAAGACTCTGATGTTATTTGCCCACCCCCAGTTCTACCACAAACTCCAAAGGCCCCAGAGCCAGAGGACCAGATGGACACCAGTGATGAAGCTGCAAAGAGGTCTGAATTGAGTGAGCAAAGGTGAGTCTTACCAGCATCGTGAAACTGTGTGACTAGGCATCTGAGGCTACCAGCACTGGAAGAAGGCCCTTCAGCCCGTTGTATCCACACCAGTCAAAAACAACTATCTGTTGTAATCCCATTTTCCAGCACTTGGCCCATATCCTTGTATGCCTTGACATTGCAAGTGCACATCTGAATACTTCTTCAATGTGATGAGGGTTTTTGCTTCTACCACCCTTACTGGCAGTGAGTTCCAGATTCTCACCACCCTCTGGGTGGAAAAGTTTTTCCTCACATTTCCACTAAACCTTTTGCCTCTCACGTTAAATCTATGGCCCCGGTCATTGATCCCTTCCCCTTTCTGCCTACTTTATTTATGTCCCTCATAATTTTGCAGGCAGATTTAGATTGAGTGAATGAAAAATAATCTGGTAGGTGGAGTATAATATGTAAAAGTGTGATGTTGTTCATTTTCTAAGGAAGAATAAAAAGCAGTGATGTTTAAATGGAGAGTTCTGAGGTGGAGGGATGTGAGCATTCGGGTACATGAGCCATGAAATGCTAATATAGAGGTACAGCAAGTAATCAAGAAGGCTAATGGGATGCTGTCTGTTAACGTGAGAAGAATTGAACATTAAAACAAGGATGTTCTCCTTCAGTTATGCAGGGCATTGGGACCACATCTTGAATACCATATGCAGTTTTGGTCTCTTAACGTAAGGAAGGCTGTTGCATGTGGTTCGGAAGAGACTTCTAAAATTCTAACAGGACTGGACAGGGTAGACGCAGGGAGGATGTTCCTGATGGTGGGTGTGTCCAGAACCAGAGGTCACAGTATGAGGATTCAGAGTAGACGATTTAGGACAGAGATGAGGAGACATTTCTTCACCCAAAGAGTAGTGAGCCTGTGGAATTCGTTACCACTAAGTAGTTGATGCCAAAACATTGAATGTATTCAAGAGGTGACGAGACCTAGCACTTGGGATGAATGGGATCAAAGATTGTGGGGCGAAAGCAGGATTAGGCTATTGAGTTGGGCAATCAGCCATGATCATGAAGAATTGTGGAGCAGGCTCAAAGGGCCGAATGGCCACCTCCTGCTTCTATCTTCTGTGTTTCTATGTTTACTGGATTGATATCTGGGTTGTCTTATGAGGAAAGGTTGGACAGACTGGGCTTGTTCCTGCAGGAGTTTAGAAGACTGAAGGGTGACCTGATTGAAGTGTATTTAATTCTGACAAGATGGATGTGGAAAGGATATGTTCCCACGTGGGCCAGTCAAGTGTTAGGGGACAGTTTTAAAGTTAGGGATCACCCTTTCAGAACAGAGATAAAGAAACTTATTTTCTGAGTACTGTGTGACTTTTGAACAGTCTGCCTCAAAAGATGGTGTGAAAGTGGAGTCATTGAACAGGAGGATAGATTCTTGTTAGGCAGTGAGCCTGAGGGTCGTCAGGGGATAGATGGGAATATGGAATTCTAAACACAAGCTGATCAGCCTTGATCTTACTTGCTGCTACATTCTATTTTGTTCAAAAAGCACACAATTTATAGACAGTCAGTCAGTGTGGCATTTTATAAGTTTCTACTTTAGAAATAAAACTAGTCTGACTTCAAACTAAAACACAGACAGATTCTAAACAAGGCCTCACACTAAACATGCATTGTTTGACCTAAAATGTCACCTCTTCTTTACACTGATAAAACCTTTAGTTCTCTAAGGGCAGTGACTTGAAAGAAATTTGGGGATTTACCTATAGGTATTAATCAATTAAAACATTCTAACTGATTAAAGATTTAACAGCACCTTAAGTTTGTTTAGTACATCCTTATCAGTGGTGTGACCCATTGATCTTTTATTTATAAATTCTATGTCTGATGCCACCTCTGTCACTAACACCTGTAGGAGGAGCGAAGCTCCAAAAGCTTGTGTTTTCAAATAAATTTGTTGGACTATAACCTGGTGGTGTGATTTCTGACCTTGTCCACCCCAGTCCACCAGTGGCACCTCCACATCTTGATCTTACTGAATGATGGAACAGGCTTGAGGGACCAAAATCTTCCCCTGCTCCTAATTCATACATTCTCATGTCATGGGTGATATCAGGCAAAATAAATTGTGACCTTAATCAACAGGATGAACATCTCAGCTTTACTGAAGGAGCTGTAGTTGCTAAGTCTGTGTTACCGGTTGATTTGGGAATTGATTAATCTCCATGGGCATTTAATTTGTAGGGCCAGATTGATATAGATTGAAAGTTGGGGGCTAGTGCTGAATGGAAAAGACAAAATGTGTGTTTACAGATTTTTCCAACTTTTTGGACTCAAGTTCTGGAGTCTGGTGAGCAAAAACAAAGGGGCTAATCTTAAAATAATCAAAGAGGATACTAAATTAGGGTGACTGTAATCTGAACAAGATAGACCTTGATAGAGCTCATCTGTCAACCCCTCTAGTTAACAAATAAATGAAACATGAAACTGGGAGAGAAACATAGAATTAGTGTGTCTGCAATATGGTGTTGCACACTGAGCATAAGCTCAGTGTTTTTATGCAGTTATTCTACTCCATTCTATACCACATAACTGTACTTGGATCATACTTTCTCAAGAGGATATCTGTATGCATTATCAGTGGGTCTAATCATATCTTTAATTCCGGCACAGGTTCAAACAATTTAAGGCTGCTCTACTGGATGCTTTCAAGACTGCACATGCTCAGTCTCTTGGCATGCAGACTCTGATGGCGTCGATCAACAAAGATAACGAGATGCCATTCTCCAATGTGGAGGTGCAGACAGCCCTGGACAAGATGCAGGAAGACAACCAGATCATGGTGTCAGATCAGATCATCTTCCTAATCTAATGACAGTGGTGCTTGTCAACTGAGTGAGGGGCAGTGTATGGTGCGAATCTGTGTCCAGCTGAATTAAGTATTCACCGCTCTTATTAAAGTGCAGGTGCTGACTAAAGGATGTCCCCCAATTTAATACACCCAATTCTGTTGTATATAATTCAGTTTTTAGAGGAATGCTTCCGACTCTGGTGTCTCCCCTATTCCCATATATGCATATACATTTCACAAATCGCTTGAATTTCTGTACAGGTCGTGGGTTATTTGACCACCATGTCGGATCTTTAATGTTGTGGATAATGACTGTAGGATGGAAAGTACGCCCAAATGCAGAGGGCACATTGTCTTTAGTTCTGAAGAAAAGAAAATGCTTTCCAGTGTTTGTATGCAAGCCAATCTGAAGTTACCAAGAACTGTTTGTGCAATTGGAGAAGCAGTTAACTTATTGATATATAATTCAAGATGTTAGTCTCATGTGGAGCCTCAGATGGTAAACCAGGATTTAGGGGTCGTGTGTGATGGTTGAATGGTATACATCTCTCAAAGACTTACAGTGGAGACGCTTAAAAGATTATGCTTTTCTATTGACTATCAGTAACTCATGTTAGATCTAGTGTTGTGCTGTTTGGTGTGGTTGATGAGGGGGAAGCTGGAGTTGATTTTAATCTTTATTGAAATAGAAGATTTGCATGTTGTTACCAGCAATTTTACAGGTGCTAAACGTTAATGAAAATTGGGATTTTAGATATGAAGTGGATCAGGAAAGTGATATTTGCCTCAGGGCTACAGAGCAGCTATCAATCAGTCGCAGACCGCTGCTGTGACTTGAGAAAAATCATAGGGATTTGAACGTTGTTCTCCACATTTTGGTTTGAAAATTACTGCAAGACTGGGCAACATTTTCTCACTGCATTTTTAAAAAAATTTCATTCGTGGCATGTGGGTGTCTGGCTGGGCCAGCATTTATTGTTCGTCCCTAATTGCCCCTTGAGAAGATGGTGGTGAGCTGCTACCTTGAACTGCTGCAGTCCATGTTCTGTAGGTAGATTCACAAGGCCATAGCTTATGGACTGCAGCAATTCAACAAGGCAACTCACCACCTTCTCCAGGGCAACTGGGGGTGGGCAGTAAATCCTTCTCCAGCCAAAGACATCTACATCCCATGTGAGAATAAAAAGAGAGAAAAAATGCATGCAGTGAGAAATGTTTACCAGCCAATAGTAGTTTCCAAACAACGTAGGTTAGCGAGTGGAATCCCATTTCCCTAGTGTTCAGACACAGTAAATTTACATCGAAGCAGCAGCCTGGCAGGATGTAATCACACCACACTACCCAGTGTGGAGCTTACAGCTCCAATATTGTTGGATCCTCCATTGAAAACTGGTCGTGCACATCACCTTTCAAGTATGCCATTTAACCCCAACAGTAGTTTGGTAATGGATTATTGACACTTAGTTAAGCCAAAAGGCTAACTCCACTGAAGGATGGGCAGAGAGGCAAAATATACTCTATGCTGAACTTGTGTTAAGTGCTTTTATTTTTTCTATAATAAAGTTGAATTTTTGCTTTTTTGTGGAATCTGTTCTGTTCAAATAAGGAGTAATTATATTTGGTTTCAATATGAGATGTTCCAGTTGTAGAAATTGTGTGTAAGATCATAATGGAAAGAAGTGTATGTCTTGTTCCGACAGCAATATCTTCTGACCTTGTTTTTCTGTTCTACTTTCATACATTCCATCTAGGTCTACTCATTAACTTGTTATAGAGAGACCATTCTCGGTTCATCTGTAACTTGCGGTTTCAAGAGCCGCTTTTTAGTTTCTTTTTGTGGACTCTTACGTTTTCACAGCGCATTATGCTATCACTTTGGATGTCCTTCTGCCCTGAAGGTGAAGATTCATTCTCGTTCCTTTTAAAATGCTGGAACGCTGTAAGAATGTAACTACCTCTGGAGTAGCAATCCTTACTGTACATTTTCCATACAGATGATATAATTCTCAAAAAATCCCTAAATTGTCCTCAGTGATTACTGGTGAATGTGGTGGAAAGCAATCTTCTTTAGTTTCCATCTGCCCTCCCATAACACTGGTCCTGGATTCAGACTGTGTTTGATTTTTACTGCAGGTCATAATTTCTTACAGAGGCAAGACTATCAAGTTATTGTAACTTGGACCAAATAAAGCTGGCAAGAGAATTCTTGGCAGCTTCGTGCGTTGAGAAGATTTCTCAGGAAATAATTATGCATTTGTTTGCAAACGGCACTCATCAGATGTGAAGCTTTCAGTGTGTTGCACTAGATACATGTGCAATGGTTTTGGCATAAAATGCGTAAGCATTTGTGACATGAGAAGTTGTATTGTGTGCAGCCAGCAGTGCAAATGATCAGTGTGGGGGGGGAGAAAAAAAAACCTTGTCTATTGCAAAAAGTCTATTGGATCTGAAATCAAGCATCTGCACATCCTTAAAAGCCATGAATTCGTTCTCTCTGAAACAACTTCTCAGGATTGAATCAGGCACCAGTGAGGAAATGGTTACACTGGATGTCAGTCACAAGTATTGGGCTGGAATTTTAGAACAATGTTGATGTAAAGATCAAGAAAAATGTTTTGAAGGGAAAAGGAGATTTACAAAGAGCTTTGGACAAGTTATGGAGTCAGTACACTTTAAAATAGTAGTGTAAAAAGTGATGCTTATAAAATCTCCAATAAGGAACAAATACTGCGCAGAGATGGCTCATTTTTGACAAGGTTGGTTAGTTCAAGCAGAAGACTTATCAGATGTTTTGCCATCTTTTATTCATGTTCTTGTCAAAGCATTTTTTTGTAAGCAGAACTGTATCAGAAATATGCGCCTTCAATAATGTCCGTTGATGAACAGCTGTTGAAGTAACCAACCTTTGTCCAGAATTGACAACTTCCAGCTGCCAACCAATGCAAAAGGGGAAAAGCTTAGCATAGCCAGTATGTCTGCATTTATTAACAGGGAACAGGCCTTGCAAATATCTAAAAGAATTTGGCAAATAGCCAGAAGTAGCGCTCTTACATGGTATCGAAAGAAGATGGAAGACCTGAGGTGATCATGTAGCGAGCTGGTGTTGGAGCGAGGGAGAAATAAAGGGAAAGAAGGGGAAACTGTACTAAGAAGATTGTGCAAAGTAAAGTGATGTTGTATATCAGTAGCTTAGTCTTTGAAAGGAAATGCAATAGTACTGAAAAGCGTGTTGCCACAAATTAGGAGTTTCAAGATTCTGGCGTTGATGCAGCAAATGTATCTGCAGAGAGTCATCAACTTATTTTGAGTTTACTATGTGAGAAGGAAGTGAAGACTATTTTAGACTTTGAGGATGGAAACTTATTTGTAAGTGTTTGAAGATGGTTGCACTAATAATGGGAGGAGGCAGTAGTAGGGTTGGTAAATGCCCTAATTATTGATTGTGAAACTTGACACCTGAATGTAAAAGATAAGACTGAAGTCAAAAGTGCAAATTGTGAAATGTATGTCGATCTTTTTCTGAAGGTCTCCCTTGTTTACATAATTAAAGAAATAGCAGGCTGCACTAGAAGTGGCAAAGGCCAAGGTCCCTGACAACATTCTAGCTGTAATTTTATTTATGAATTGATGGGATGTGGGTGTCACTGGCGTGGCCAGCATTTATTACCCATCTCTTGTTGCTCTTTGAGAAGGTCATGTGTGTAGCCTATTTGAACCGCTGTAGTCCACCTGTTGTAGATTGACCCACCATGCACTTGGGGGGGGAGTTCCAGGATTTTGACCCAGTGATAGTGAAGGAATAGCAAAATATTTCTAATTCAGGAGGGTGAGTGGCTTGGAGGGGAACTTGTAAGTGCTGCTGTTTCTATATATCTGCTGCCCTTGTACCAGATGGAAGTAATTGTGGGTTTAGAAGGTGTAAACCAGCCTTGATGAATTCCTGAGATAACAAGGTGTAGAGCTGGGTGAACACAGCAGGCCAAGCAGCATCAGAGGAGCAGGAAAGCTGACATTTCGGGTCTGGACCCTTCTTCAGAAAATTGTTATGTCAGATTCTCCAGCATCGGCAGTTCCTACTATCTCTTGATGAATTCCTGTAGTGCAGCTTTTAGGTCATACACACTACTTCTATTGAGTGTTGGTAATGGAAGGAATGAATGCTGTAAAGATTGTGTCTAGATTTCAGTATTTTTGGTTGTGGATGGAAATCGGGGGAGAAAAACTTAAATCAAAGATCACTGCATGTTTTGAAAGCCAAGCAGGTTGATACTCGTAAGCACTATTTATACAGCTGCTTGTTCAAACAGTGGAGTTTGCAGATGAGCTGGAGACAATTGAAGATTTACCCAGCAACAGGTAGCTCATTGGTCTCTGGACCAGTAACCAGTTCTTGATGACACCAGTTTTTTATGCTTGACAACAACTATGTAATTGTGATTGATTATCGTGTAGTTTACCAGCCTGGGCTGCATTAGGTTCAGGGGAGAAATCATGAAACTTCCAGTTGCTTTCTCTGTTCTCCTTAGTAGAAGTTACTCTATGCCTGAAGTAAACCGGTTTATTTTTACTTCAGCAAATGCTCTTAAGTCAGAGACCTTATGTAGATATGAAGCAGCCACCCTGTGTATCCAGCAAGGCGGTGAAAGCATTGGAGGATGAAGGCCAAGAAACAGCCTCATGCCAGAAGTGTCAAGTAGATGATCCATCCTGGCCTCTTCCAGTGGTCCTCAGCATTACAGATACCAGTTTTCAGCCAATTTGATTCACTCTACTTGATATCAAGAAATGATTGAAGACACTGTATACTGCAAGGTCTGTGGGCCCTGACAACAATCTGACAATAGCCTTGAAGCCTTGTGTTCCAGAGCTTGCTGCTTTCTTAGCTAAGCTGTTTTGGTACAGTTACAACACTGGCATCTACCTACAATGTGGAAAATTGCCCGAGTATTTCCTGTGCATAAAAAGCATGATCAAATCGAAACAATTACTGCTCCATCAGTCTACTCTCGGTTATCAGTAAAGTGATGGAAGGTGTCAGTAACAGTGCTATCAAGCAGCACCTGCGCAGCAATAACCTGCTCAGTGACGCCCAGTTTGGGCTCCAACGGGGCCGTTCAGCTCCTGACCTCATTACAGCCTTGGTTCAAACATGGACACGAGCTGAATTCCAGAAGTGTGGTGAGAGTGACAGCCCTTGACATCAAGGCTGCATCAAGGAGCCCTAGCAAAACTGGAATCAATGGGTATCAGGGAGCAATCTCTTTGCTGGTTGGAGTCATACCTAACACATTGGAAGATGGTCATGGTTGTTGGAGGTCAGCCATCTCAGCTCCAAGGCATCTGTGCAGGAGTTCCTCAGGGTAGTGTCCTAGGCCCAACCACCTTCAGCTTTTTCATCAATGACCTTTATCATAAGGTCAGAAGTGGGGATGTTTGCCAATGATTGCACAATTTTTAGCACCATTTGAGATTCCTCAGATGCTGAAGCAGTCCATGTTCAAATGCAACAAGATCTGGACAATATAGAGGCTTGGGTTGACAAGTGGCAAAGTCACATTTTGTGCCAGACAAATGCTAGATTATGACCATCACCAACAATAGATAATCTTACACTGTCCTTTGAAGTTTAATGGTGTTATAATCACTGAATGCCCCCCTGTCAACAACTCAGGGGTTCAGATTGACCTGAAACTCAACTGGACTCACCACCTAAACACAGCAGCTACCAGAACAGATCAGAGGCTAGGAACACCATGGCACGTAACTCACCTCCCCTCCCAAAGCCTGTTCACCATCTATGAGGCCCAAGTCAGGAGTGTGATGGAACACTCACCACTTGTATGGATGAAGAAGCTTGACACCATCCAGGACAAAGCAGCCTGCTTGATTGGCACTACATCCACAAGCATCCACCCACTCCACCACCAACACTCAGTAGCAGCAGTGTGTACTATCTACAAGATGCACTGCAGAAATTCACCAAAGATCCTCAGCCAGCACCTTCCAAACCCATGACCACTTCCATCTAGAGGGACAAGGGCAGCAGGTATCTGGGGACAGCAACAGCTTCACATTCCCCTCCGAGCCACTTACCAACCTGACTTGGAAATACAGCACCGTTCCTTCACTGTCATTGGGTCAGATTCCTCGAATTCCCTCTCTAATGACATGATGGGTCAACCCACAGCGTGTGAACTGCAGCAGTTCAAGAAGGGTAACTAGGGACGGGCGATCAATGTTAGCCCAGCCAGGGCCACCCACATCTCAATAATGAATGAATAAAAATGATCAGTGCAGAATTGTCTCAGTAAACCCTGTTGACAGGTGCCACTGAATTGCCTTCCAGTTTTTCATTTTGCCCATAAAATCTAGGGTGTTATTTCCTGTCTGTGTATAAATGGAAGTTTGAGAGTTTTAATTAGTAGTTTTATTTTGACAGTTCATAATTGTTTACCTATTGCTCAAGTTTGACTATTTATTAGAAATAAACATTCTTAAGTATAGAAGCACAGCCCGGGTTTCTATCAGCAACAAAAACAAATTGCTGGAAAAGCTCACCACCAGGTCTGGCAGCATA